AGTGATAGAATATAGTTGGGATGGTCAGATATTGCACGAACCCAAGTCAGAATCAGGGTCTAAGTTGGAACAAAACAACAAAAAAAATAAATAAATAAAATTGCGGCAGCAGTAGAACTAGGTTTTTCTAGTGCCACTTTCAAAGAATTTATTTCAACCTTACAGCCCATGTAAAAGAGGAATGAATTTATCATTATAAAGAATCCTAATTAGCCTAAGAATCCTGATAATTTCGGTAGCAGCGAGGAAGGATAAAGAGAGCAGGAGATGGCTAAAAAAATGAGTAACAACAAGATGTATCAGAATGATAAAGCAGAGAGAGAGTTTTTGGAGAAGACGTGCCTGCAAGAGGATAGGGAGAGCAGCAACTGGCGCTTTCATTACTACAAATCAAGGTTATTTAAGTTGTGGATCTAATTAGCACGCCACCTCAAGAGCTGTCAACGTTATCGGAGCGTGGAATATGAACATAATGAGGGTTTGAACAATAATTATTGTTAGGGCCAATGCCGAGCTAGGATTTTTCCAAATAAGTATAACTATATCATAATCAGCCTGTCCCAGTATGTTGTCATGCTATTCGCTAACAACAAATTTCCAAATCTAAGAAGCTAAATATAGAAGAAGACCAAGACCTAATTATGGCGTATTATATAGGTAGTTGATCAATATCTTAAAAAGTCTTAAAAAATAAAATTGTCTGGTACAGGCAGTGTTACATCATCTTAACATGGGCAGGAAATAATAATAATTAAAAAAGAAAAGAAGAAGAGGGATTCTCACCTATTCTAATAGCGTGTTTGGGTGTATAATTATAATTATTTTTTAAAATATTTTTTATTTAAAAAATATATTAATAATATTTTTTTATTTTTAAAAAATTATTTTTAAGATCAGTATATTAAAATAATTTGAAAATATAAAAAATATATTAATTTAAATTAAAAATATTTAATTTTTTTTAGAAATGCTGTTGAAAAGCACTCCCAAACACCCCTAAGAAATTACATTGGGAAATTGCACTGATTCTTATTCTTGGAAAAAATGGTAAGGTGGTTTATTTACAGGAGATTCCTGGGTCAATTACCTCTAACAAGAATACCTAGTTCTGTAGTTCATGAGCAATTTTTGGAATAGTTTGTGAGGGAAAACGGGAATTAAGCTGAATTTCAATCGTACTTACCATCATTTAATAGATGGACAAACAGAAAAGGTAAATCAAAATTTAAAGAATATATTGCGGAATTAGGGTAAATTAGTGGGACCTTGCCTTGTCACAAGCTAAGTTCACATGTAATAGATCCAGAAATCAAACTACTGAGCTGAGTCCTTTTGAAATTATGTACGATGTACTTGAGTTGCCTCCTATTCCTCTCGTATTGATTAGCTCGAGCAAACAATTCCTCACTATATACAATGCTAAATAAAAAACCCAGGTAGATAGTCATCACAAGAAGGTCACTTTTGAGGCTGGTGACTTGGTATATGCAGCGCTCACTCATGATCGGTCTCATGTGAGGGAGTACAGCAAGCTTCGATATAGAAAGATTGGTTCTTGTGAGGTGGTGCAGTAAAACATCAATGACAATGCCTACAAACTCGATATTATGAGTAGCTTCCAGCCAAGAAACATTGATGTAGAAGGCTATAGATAAGTTGAGCTATCATATATGAAATTGACTGTGCTAGATCGATTACGGCCTTGACAGGTCAGACCAGTGCAAGGATGGAAGGAAACGGTACTTCGAATCTAGTTTGGAGTGATTCTGCATAGCTTTCGGTTTTCTGACCACAACTTTTAATCCGGGACCTAATCCTAATTAAGCCTTTGCAAGCAAATTAGCTCCTAATCCTGCTTTATTATATTCAGAATCAGTCATTGCCTTCGTGGAAGTGCATGCGTTGATATTCTGATTGGGTGTTTTAAAATTCGAGAGCCAACAGAAAGAGCCATTCTGCCCCCCACTGAAGTACTAATTAATGAAGGAGCCAAACAAGGTTAACATATAATCAGTCAGCATAAGCCCCGTGTTAATTTTGAAGGAGTTGAATTTTCAAGATTCGTTTTAGAGCATTAGACCACTTGCTCATTAAGTTATTGGTTGGCCGGTTAAGATGTAAACAATAATATTTGTGTCTTGGAGGTTTACATCTAGTATGATTTCTTGTTCTTTGTTGAATCTGAAGATATGAAGTTTTATTAAGATTTCGCTTGTGCCTGCTGTTGAAAAGAGACGTGAAACATAAAGAAAAATGATTCATGCATAATTAAAATTTAATTTGGTTTATTAAACTCTCCCACTAAGCCATCTATAATTTAGCTGTTCTTCTCTTGTTCTTCCTTGCTCTGTCAACTGATAATTTTCTGTAGAACTTCTTCATTACAAAAGTGCAGAGCCAGCCATATATAATAATGGGAGCTGTAGAATCTTCATATCATTTGTTTCTTGTATACTCTGTGCTTATCAATTCTGTATAAAATTATGCAACTGGTTTCCCCATCATGAAGAAGAAGAAAAGAAGTTAAAATCTATTGATCCCATTTATTTTTTCATGACAGAACAAAGTTATAAATAGATAGCAAAGATAAAAAACAGTCTAGTTCATGACTGGGTGTTTGTTTGGATTGGTGAGTTCAAGACGAACTTCATCTTTCTTGTGGCGCTGCAATGAACTTTATCTTCATGAAACAAGAAATACCAGATGAGAAGAAAGAAGAAAAGGGGAGGAAATAAAGAAGAAGATAAAACGCTGATGTTTCTTGAGTTCATGACTTGTTTTGTAGGTGCAGTCTAGTGCTGCGCTGCAGCCTTGAGAACACCTTAATAATCCAGAGCTTTTCAGCATTGAAGAACTCCTACACCTCAGATTTGTTTCCATTATTTATTTATAGATAAGCTGACCATCTCCTTGTCAGCATTTGAAGCAGGTCCCAGTATGGCTTTCGATTCTCCAGTTTCCTGTTAAGAGACAATCAAGAAAGCTATATAATATACTACAATGTTTAATCTGGGCTCAATTATAGGATAAATTTGATGTTAAGAAATGCACCTTTTCATCAGTCTCACATATTTCCACTAAGTCACCCACTGGGCTAAGCATATTCCATCCCAAGATATTATTTGGATTTGAACCATCAGCATTTGAAGCTGATGGAGAGTTGCCAGAATTAGGCATCAGTGTGATATCAGACATCTCAGCAGCGGTAACTTCAGAAACAACATCAGCCACATTTAAATCCATTCCACAAACTATCCATGAATTCCTACAGCTCTTCTGCAAGGCAGATAGTATTTTATTCACCAAAAGTTGTTTTTCTGAAATTTCTCTCATTTTTGAAGGGAGAAAAAATTCTAATATGTAATCCATACTGCTCCTGCAAGTGCTTCTTAGCTTGATTGCAACAGCACCATGAAGGCCAAACTCCCATGCTTCATAAACAAATGGATAATCAGCTGGATCGAGTTCAGAGACATCGGGGACAAAATAAATATCTGATAGAAGGGCTTTTCCAGCAACACCTTGCCCTTCCTCAATATCAAATTCTGCACATATCTCAACAAATTCTGTTGCTCCTAAATCATTGACGTAGCAAGCAGTATCCTCAACGCGTAGAACGTTTTTTCCCTCATAATTTTTGGCAGGATCTCTGCCATCCGATATCCATGTTAGTGCCAGGGGCAGCTTATATACATGACACACATATTCCAATATGTCAAATATCTCAGCTGAAGCAGCAATCTCATTGATTGAGGGGCACTGCAAAAACCGTAGAAGCAATCTCATTCATCGAGGAGAATTGTAAGAATTGTAGCAGGATATAACAGAATTTAGAAAAATTAAGAGACAATCAAACTCTTTATGTATGAAAGAAATACTAAAGATTTGAGTATCCTATTAATTTCCCTAGACATCTATATAAACAAATAGCAATCTGATAAAAAGCATGCAGGAAAATACAGGACGGGGCACCTCTGAAGACCACACATTTCCTTCTCTCATGATAGTAGGATTGTTGGGAATTTCGACCGGTGATGTTCTGATACTTGCTCATAGGAGAGCCAAGCACACTGACACAATATTTAACGTGGTTCGGTAAAACCGCCTACATCCACGGGAGAAGTTAATATATTTAGAGATAGAGAAAGAATACAAAACAAATACATGGAGGAGGAGGATATACAATGCCATTACCGAGCTCACCACCTTGACAAGAGTCAACTTGTTCCCGGAACCTGCGCATGCCCTCTGCTCCTTCATTGCAGCCATGTCTTAATGCTCCACAAGTCATCCACTTATTGTCCAAGGTAAATTTCTTCTAGCTCATTGATCTTTAGCATGGGGGCAATATCCATGAAAGTCAATCCTGCATTTGTCTCCATACTTATCATAGCCCTTTTATTGGCTATCCATCTGTCCACTCATACCTAGCCATCACATTGGCTCTGGGGCGTTCTGAACTGGGCTCCTTCCACGGCCCTCACACCTTCTCCTGAGGTGTCTCCGCTCGTCGTCATGCGGCGGTCTGATCATGGGCTCATCTCATAGCCCTCATACCTTCTCTTTAAGGTGTCTTCGCCTTTTATAGGCAGTCGCATCCTCCTTTAGCTAAGATGCTTCAAAGTGGCTCCATAAATTCTTTGCCACTAATTACATAGAAAGAGAAAGTTGCGGTATACTCCTCGCAATCCTCCACCTCAATTTCTATGTTTGGAGCTTCTACGCCTTTTCTGCTTAACAGCTCCACCCGCACCAACTCCCTTTGGTGTCTTCGCCTTTCATCATAGGCGGTCGCCTTTTATCACAAGCGTTTGCACCCCCTCAATTAGGTGCATCTGCAACAGCTCATCCTTCCATCCTTGCATGCATTGAAAGGTCCTCGCTTGTTGCCTTTATCAAGAGCACAAGAAACTTTTTGTTGTACAACTTTTTCATAGTCTCTGCTCTGAGCTTCATCTGGGAACTCTTCTTCTCCTTGCACCTGTTGTCTCATTATAGTACCTCGTTGGATCCTCCGGGTACTCCTACACAATCTTCATGTGCTCTCGTGCAATTTTGGTTCTCCAGATTTCTCCCTATTCCTTGCTTATGTTTGACAGCAGCTCATCCTGTCACAACATCTATGCAAGTTTAAATAGGGTGCCAATCTTTATCCCTTTGCTGTATTTCTCTTTCATTATCAGGGTCTTCATCAATTCTCCCCTCGAGAAATTATAGTCACCGAATCTAACTTCCTTGGAGAAATCACCACTCCATCAAATCCTTGATCATACGGAACCCAATTGTTCCTTTGTGCCGTCATCCTGCTAGTCTTCAATAGTTTCATAACAAACTGTCACATATACGAAAATAGTACCATATGGATAATCCTTCCACTAAGCAAGTTCCTAGGAAAGATTGGAGGGGTCACAACGGTCCCGCTTAAAACCCAATCTCCTAACCAGAACTTCTTAGGCCATATCTATCCATCGTATTGTCTTTTCGTATATACAACCATTTGCTAGCTTTGTTGCGGCTTTCCTTTACAAGTGATTTGGGGTATCCTGGTTTTATACCTGATTTCTCAACATCTGGTGAGATTTCATCATTTTGTTGTTGTACGTGGATGACATGTTGGTGATAGGCCCCAATAAAGATCGAGTCCAAGAATTGAAGGCACAGTTGGCTAGGGAATTTGATATGAAGGACTTGGGACCAGCAAACAAGATTCTAGGGATGCAAATTTACCGAGACAGAAGTAAGAGGAAGATTTGGCTTTCTCAAAAGAATTATTTGAAGAAGATCTTGCGACGCTTCAACATGCAAGATTGTAAGCCAATTTCCACCCCACTTCCTATTAACTTCAAATTATCCTCAAGTATGTCTCCTAGCAATGAAGCAGAGAGGATGGAGATGTCTCGAGTACTGTATGCATCAGCAGTGGGAAGTTTAATGTTTGCTATGATATGTACAAGACCGGACATTGCACAAGCAGTGGGAGCAGTTAGTCGATACATGGCAAATTCTGGTAAAGAGCATTGGAATACTATTAAGAGGATCTTGAGATACATCAAGGGTACCTCAGATGTTGCATTATGTTATGGAGGATCAGAATTTACTATCAGAGGTTATGTTGATTCAGATTTTGCTGGTGACCTTGAGAAAAGGAAGTCCACTACAGGCTATGTGTTCATAATTGCAGGAGGAGCTGTGAGTTGGGTTTCTAAACTTCAGACTGTTGTAGCGTTATCCACAACAGAAGCTGAGTACATGGCAGCTACACAAGCTTGTAAAGAAGCAATATGGATGAAGAAACTTATGGAGAAGCTCGGGCACAAACAAGAGAATATTCTTTTGTATTGTGATAGTCAAAGTGCCTTGCATATTGCAAGGAATCCAGCATTTCATTCAATAACAAAACACATAGATGTTCAGTATCACTTTGTTCGCGAAGTGGTGGAAGATGGAAGTGTGGATTTTCAGAAGATTCACACAAAGGAAAACCCAGCAGATGCTTTGACGAAACCGGTTAACACTGATAAGTATATATGGTGCAGATCCTCTTACGGCCTAGCAGAAACGTAAGTAGCATGAAGATGGCAAGTATAGAAAGGATAGAAGAAGCACAAATGATCAAGTGTGAAGACTTGATTCAATCATCAAAGTCTTCAAGTGGGAGAATGTGAAGCTAACCACCTTAGTCAAAAATGGTGGGAGAAGGTGTAGTCATCCTTTTACACCTTAGTCAAAAATGGTGGGAGAAGGTGTAGCCATCTTAGTCAAAAATTGTATGCACCAAATTGATGCTATTTGCCTAACCCCTTGTCTTTTGCATGGATGCTTGCCTATAAATAGGCAATGCATCCAAGCATTATATACACACCACAAGAGAGAAAGAAGAGAGGGTGAGAAGAGAGTAATCCCACAAAATTGTGAGGTATTTGTGAGATAGTAAGTGAGGTGTTTTCTCCTAATAATAGAGAGATTTTTGTTGTTCTCCTATTATTAGAGAGAAATTGTATTCCCACATTACTTAGTAAAATTCTTCTATACTTGCCCGTGGACGTAGCCAAATTGGGTGAATCACGTAAATTCTTGTGTGTCATTTCTTATTTTATCTTATCCCTTACCTTTTGTCTTGTCGGGTTTGCATGCCAGTATCCTAACAAGGATCACCTTCTTCCTCGCATTCATTTTGTATTATGCTAAGATCATTGAACTCTAGACCTAACAACATGGATTCTGGACTGCCCACGTTCTCCTTGTTGTCCGATCCTGCATGATTAGCATTTCACCATGTTATAGACTAATATATAATCATTCTTGAACTCTTATTTAATAGTTTAAGCTTTTTGAATTGAGATATTTCAGAGTTTTAATGGTCAAATAATTACAAGTAAACCTCACATTCCCTCTAATTAAATTAACAAAATATGCAAAATACAAGGACAAAGAGCTTTATAGGATTGTGAGAGAAGACCTTCCTCAATACACATGAATGAATAGTTGCTAACCTCAAATATATTTTTCCAACTGACATTTATATAATTGCGTTAATTTGTAGTGAAAAATAAACAATAATAATAATCATCATAGTAAAGAAATGTGAGATGTTTGATATCATTTTTTCGAAACAAAAAAAAATGTTTCGTATTTCTTGTTTTAAGAGAAACAAAGAGTGGAATGAGATTGTCCAGTACCTCCATCAGACTGAGCAAGTTCGGGTTTCCATGCTGATGTGATAACTAGAGGGACAGTGTATCGACGTAGGAAGGGACATCCATTCTTTCCTTCTATAGTGTATTGAGTCAAGTCACTGAAAAGAAAACCCCTTATATGATTGAACCACTGGCGAACAGGATGAAATCCTGAACGACGCAGCTGATCTCGCCACCAAGCCTGTGTTTCATGTCTCTCAGCATGCTGGATGTCCTCTCGCGCCACCACATTAGTGATCTGCCGCCTAAAATCCATCTCCCACGATATCTTGTTTTCGAGATCATATTCGGTCGTATCTTTCTCTATGGAGTCAAATACGCTGGAGTAGTATGGGAATGATTGGGCAAGTCGGTCCAAGATATCAGGACTGTTGTGGTTGGCTTCCTGTTCCACAATTACCATGATTTCTGGTCTGAGTTCCTTCAGTTTTGACAAAACCTTCTCGAGTGCACCGGGCACTAAGATCAATTTGTGAAGTTCAAACTCCCATTTCACAACTATCGCCTCGTCCTCGCTTGTTCTTTTGAGATTGAGAGTGGATTCAACAATACCTGCTGCAGTATTGGCAAATACATGGTCTAATTTGAAATCTGTCAGGCGAAGTGTTTTAGCCTCTGCAGCTAGGACGCGATCCATTTCTTGGAGGTACTCTTCGTTGTTTGACAGTTTAGGTCTGATATTTGTTACTTGGAAAGACAGTCCACTGCCTACCTTCTTCACTAGATCACGCATCAAATCTCGAATCATCATATTGAATTCCATATTAGAGAAGTTGATAACATGGACTTTCTTTTTTCCAACAACGGCATCAAGGATGGAATGGTGGCTGCTTTTCTCTGCAAACCATACGAAAGGAAGAAATCGCCAGCACCTGATGTAATATGAATCCGTGGAAGGTGCTAATGGAGTAGGATTTCGAGGATACAGTTTGTAGAGTCTCCGAATGAGCGCTTCAGCATAGAATCTGACAAGTTTTCTTGTTGCTGTGCTGGTATTGGCATCATTTAGGCGTTTAATCTCCTTGAAAACTGTCTCTGCAAGATTCAGATCACCATCTTCAATCGCCTTAGCAGAGGCTAACAGTTTGTTGAGAAGAAGAGTGGCCATTTTGAGCAACAAAGCAATAACAAACGACTCTCAATGAACTGAATGACTTTACTCTAGTAGATGGGCGATGATCATGAGAAACAAGTGACCATTTTAAGCAGAGAAGTTCAGCCCAAAAATGTCATTCTAGATATCAATTTCCATTTTCTATTCAGCTGTTGCTTCCTTGAAATTTCCATATCAATTTGTTATTTGGATTCGATAGCTTACTTTAAGAAGCTAACAGAAGAAGATCAAGACCTAAAACGTATTAGGTAGTTAATCATTTTCTTAGAGTCTTAAATAAGATAGAAAGAGAAAAACAAAGGTTAGGTGAAGGCATGTTACGTTATCTTAGCATGCGTAGCAAATAATAAAAAAGAAGGATTCTGACTGGTTCTACAAAATTATATGGGGAAATCGCACTGATTCTTCTTCATGGCAATTTTTTTTTTAGTACCTTGCTTGAGTCTCCTTTCATTGACTCAGTCAGCCGGGGCTTCTTCCAATTCAAGGCCGCAAGGATGAAAATATGATCCTGTCAGTTGACGAGACACTAAACTCAAAATTAATCAAACTGAAAGATTTTTCTAAATTATTAAATAATTGTTGTTATAATATTTTTTTTATAAATCAGATTTTAGAAACAACCTGTAATCCAAAAAATAAAAAACTAGAAGAAAAGGTGAAAACACTATTCACCTAAACCCATTGCATTTTAGACGGAACAATGTTTTTACCTTCAATAATAGGCTAATGGTTGATGATAGAATCATCTTTGCAGTGGGAATATCTTGGTATTTTTTTTTTAATTGATTAGAGACAGAATGAGTATTTTATTTTCTGATAATATAATAAATTTACATCATTATCCTTAAAAGAAATAAAACTACGATTGTTGATTTTTTCCTTATCTACTTTAAACATAAACATGGATTCAAAAGGTGTTGTTGCTTCCAAAAAGAAGTTTAGTTTCCGATCTAAGATTGGAAGAAGCAGCACGGGGCAAGGGTCATTTAAACGAGGCATGAACTAAAGGGGGTGGCATCCTGACGTCCACCTTTGACAGAGGAAGAGTAACTCTCTTTGCAGAAATCCTTCTCCTGCCATTACTAAAGGCTACCTCAAACCCTCGTGGATGACGTTCCTAGAATTTTATATGCGGAGGACATCGAGTTTGTTTCTCGTCTATAGCTAAGAGATTACATAGCTTAGATGTTTGATCAAGCTAGGCGTGTCAGCCAAAAGACCTTGGACTTACAACCCCTCCCCCTTTTACATGTACATGATGAGGTATTCCTTTCCTCTTCAAGGATTCACGAGAGAAATGTTTAGATATTACCAGCTAGGTTTAGACTAGTTGTATCCTAATAAACAAATCACTTCGTCCATCTTTAATAAGTTTTATAGGCTCATCAGAATCGAGCTTATAATTAATACTTTTAGAAATTATTATTATTTAGTTGCTCGTATTAATAATAACAATAATATATATTGGTTTTTCACCTTCACCAATAAACCAATAAAAACCATGAAGGGAACTCTATGTGAAAAGCCTATGCATGTTAAGAAATGGTGGGGAAAATGGTTTACAGTAAAATATGATAAGTCAGTAAATCCTAGAGGTGCAAAGTAGTGAATCTGTAATGTTTTGAATAAATAAGTAGGAAAATATAATAAAACCCTTGGTGGCTTAAAGTGTAGGTATAAATGAATGAGGGGTAGTGTAGTAATTCAACAAAATTTGATAAATATAAATAGAAAGTAAAAAAAAAAAATAAATGATCTGAAATTAGAGAGAATCGGCAGGAGAAAGAAGGGAGAAAGAAGAAGAAGAGAAAAGAGAGAAATTAGAAGAAAAATAGAAAGGAGTTGAAGGAAATAAGTTTAAAGGTAAGATTATATATAAATATGTGTTGATTAAGTTTTAATTTTGGTTTTGATAAATGTTAGGGTTTTGAAAATTTGTGTTTTGGGTTTGATTGATGAATTAATTGAATTTTATGGGTTGATTGTTATGGGTAATGGATTATTTGGTGGATTTTGAGAGATTGAATTGAAAGATGATGATTTTAAGTTATGATTTTGTTTGAATGGTGAAATTATGTTAGAAATAAGGAAAGAACAGTGGGTTTCTGTTGAAATTCTGGGTTGGAGGTTGAAGATGATGAAAATTCATTTTGGTCCTTCAATTTGTGGAAATTACAGTTTAGTCCCCAAACTTTGAAAAATTTACAGATTGGTCCCTGGGGCATATTCCGAGATTCTGAACAGAATAAAAGATAAATTATGGGCAGAATTCCTGTATAGTTATGAAATTTTAACACTTTCAATTTGGTCCTTCAATTTGACAAAAATTACCATTTAACCCTAAAAATTTGATAAAATTCCAGAATGGTCCCTGGAGTATAATGAGATGATCTGGACAGAAATGAGGATTGATTATGGTCAGAATTTCAGTATATTCATGGATTTATGATAAGTTTAGTTTCGTCCTCCAAATGGATTAAGTTACAATTTGACCCTTAAAAATATAATAAATTACAGATTAGTCCCTAGCTGTAATATTAGCTTTTACAGATGTGTTTGATGAATAATTGAGGGTTAGTTAGTGAAGTATTACTAATTTTATTATTTGTTTTATTATGGATTAGATTTTGAGAAAACCGTTAATTTTTGGGTTTTTGGAATATAACTAATTAGTTCAAAAATATATAGGGTTATAGAATATATCCTTAAATAAGTGTATTAAATAGGTTATATATTCTTTTGAGTCATTCTTGAATATGTCTCCTTTGTATTCAGATAATCATGATATTCTCCCGGCAGGACGTCAGTAGGATTTTCTTCGGTGTTTGCTTTTGATTTCTGTTTGCTTTCGAGTCAGGTGAGTGGATAATTTTCCATATGCATGAGAAATATTATAAATATTTGATTTGTTAATATGAATTGGATCATGCTTCTTGATAATATATATGGTGATTATTATCCTTGTTATGATAAGCATGATCATTTGTTGAATCCGAATTCTTGATATGAACCAGTATGTATTTTGGATTGACTTCTGAATTGATAGCTCCTCATTTGATTGATGTCATGAGTTGAGCCTTGAGATATTAATATGTCTATTTGATTATGATTATAACCCTATGGTATGTCAGTCAGAATACTCATGCTAACAGGGTAGTGTTAGTCTTTGTGCACATCGTATCTGAACCCTAGTTGGTCGGGGGAGTCACCAACCTGTGTGGACTGATCATCCCACAGTACGGAGCCTCATGCTCATTGCATTTTGATTTTCTAATGATTTTACCATATGATATTCTTGTTATGGCCTATTTGAGAAACCTTTTTATAAGAACCTAAATTCATACTTGTATATATATTTCTCATTATTGTATTATTTCGTGTGTGTATATTGAACATTATCTACTCACTGAGTTGTTAAACTCACACTCTCATTATTTATCATTTTCAGGCTTATAGCTTGATAGCAGGTCACTTTTGTTGGACCTTCAGAACCTGCTCTTTTGGTTGTAATCCGTGCATTTTCCTTTATCTCTAATTAGTGCTCCAAAACTATAAAATTATATTAACTCTTGTATTAAGACAATTCAATTATATTATGAAGTTGATTTTGTTATTAATGCTGCGTTGAACTCTGATTGAGTTAGGATAAATTTGTATGTAAGTTTGGGTTCGCATAGGTACGGAACCTTGGAGGGGAACCTTGCCTATGTGCCGGTCATGGATCCGGGATTCGGGTCGTGACAGAATCTAGGATTGTTTTCATAACTCAAATGTTCTATGCATGTTAAGAAATGGTGGAGAAAATAGTTAACAATAAGATATGGTAAGTCAATAAATCCTAGAGGTGGAAAGTAGTGAATCTAGGGTTGTTTTCATAACTCAAATATTCTTTCCCATGATGTAAATAGCAATCCTTGTCTAAGCTCGAATGAAAAGAAAATGTGAGTTGTGCTAGCCTCAACGTGAGTTAAGCATGATGTTAATAGGATAGTCAAAGATATTATTAGGTCATATTGTAAAATATGCAACTTCCTTATTCTTTGTTATATTTGTAGCTAAGTTTATGATTGAATTTTTTTTTTTTACGACTAATGGTTAAAGAAAAAACTTCAGCAGGGTATATAGAAAAGGGTTTATAAATAAAGTTTTCATCTTTTATCACGAGTAGAGATAAGGGTGAAAAAAATCTTTATAACCCATCATTCTTACTATTTAATTTGGGGAGTACTAAGAAGTTATGTTTTTCTAATACTATTAAAACCTCCAGGTGTCAAAAATAAAAAATACCTCTCACATATCATAATAACATGGCTCAAAATAAAGCATGACAAGATTATCAAAGCTACTTGTAATTGAGTTTAGTGTTTAACTAAGCTAAAAAATAATAGGTTTGATAATTCATCAGACTGATATGTATGTGGGCAATGCACTTAGTTGATCTTAAGAATATTAGATCTAGCAACTTATCAGACTCGTATATATTTAAACTCAGTGCTTTGTTGAACTCGTAATTACTAGATCTAATAACTCATTGAACCTATATAGATTTGGGTTCAATATTTAACTAAGTCGAATAATATTAAGTTATTACCTTGTCTCTAATTCATTTAAATAAGAATCTAAGTAAAAATAAAAACTTAACTAATCAAGAGATTTGAGATTTTCAATCAGCTCCCTTAATAACAGATGGAAAGATCAAGGATTGAAACGGTGATGAAAAACATCGTGGCTACAGGAAAATTGCAAACTTATATTATTGTTATTGTTATTATTATTATTATTTTTTATTTGTTGAGTAATAGATAGACACTTGGAAGAAGATGGTAAGGCTTTCACCTTGCCTTCCATTTCAATATGTTGCTTGAGTCTCTTTTTATTGACTTAGTCAATTGGGGGCTTCTTCAGCTATAAGAATGAAAATATGATCATGTGAGTTTATTAAATAATTTTACTTAATAATTTAATTATAATTATTAAACTTAAAATTAATCAAATCTAAAGATTTTTCAATTTATTAAATAATTTAGTTATAATTTTTTTTAAATCATATTTTAGAAATGAAAAACTACTTGCAAACAAAAAAAATAAAAAATAAAAAACCTGAAAAAAAGAGATGAAAATATTGTTCACTTATAAACATTGAAAATAGTGTTTTCACTTTCTTGCTTTTTGAAAAAGAAAAACTGATAGGCTGATGGTTGAAAATAAGTTCATCTTTGCAATGAAAACATTTTGATATTTTTAAATTAACTAGGGATAAAACAGGTATTTCATATTCTAATAGTATAATAAATTTACATCACTACTCTTGAAAAATAAATTATTAAGCTCACATTAAGGATTACTTTTGTATTTTTATATAAAACATGCATAAAAATAATTTGTTTACCCTTAAAATAAAAAACAATTTTAACTAACTTTCGGTAGCCTTTTTGTATTTTCCAATAAAAAGACCCAGATGTCATTGAAGTTTAAATTTTTAACCTTCTGATCAAGGGATAATTTTGTCATTGCGTAGCTTAATGCGGATAACGAGATAGTGTATTCTAATTCAAATTGGATTTATTTATTTAACAAATATAAAACCAAACTTTTGAATTGATTTGGCTGATAAAAGATTTGATTATATCGAGTTTTTTTTTTAATCCAAATGGAATACCATATGCTCACCCCTGGGATGAATTCTAAATATTGTTTTTTTTCAAGAATTTTTTGAGATAGGAGGACTAGTAACAAAATAAAAGACAATAACAAATACAAAAATAAGTGAAAAAACAACTATAGTTGATTTCCTACTCTGAAATTTGAATGCAAGTGATTTATTTTTTTTATTAATATTAATAATTGCATTAGTATATCTCGACTAATTTTATAAATTTTTAAATTAATAATTATATAAACTTTTAATGATCTAAAAAAACTTAAAATTTTAATTATTAAAAAATAAATTTAAAATCTAACTAATTGAGTTATTTCTTAAAATTAAATAATAATGTTTATTAATTTTGATAGATGATGAAAATTAAAAAGAAGCTATGAAAATAATTAATGTTGCTGGCCAAATTATATATAAATGATTTAAATTAAAAAATAGGGACATAACAGAGGTGAAAAAATATGAGCTGAAAGCAAAAAATCAGTGATTATATGTCACATGATAATATAATAATTGTTGTTGTTTTTGAAAATATTTTTTTATAAATATATTGAAATAATTTTTTTTAAATTTATTTTTAATATTAAAATATAAAAAAAATATCAAAATATCAAAAAAATATTTAAAATAAAAAATAATTATTTTAAAAACACTTGTAAAATAAAAATAAACAAACTATATTACGAAAATTCCAACACAAAAACTACTGTGGTGATGGTGTAAAAAGCATCTAAGTTACGACAAAAAAACAAAATAATAATTAGCTTAATGTGAAAAGTAATTGCACATATAAGACGACGAAGAAGTGGCCAGGAATTTCAAATCCCTTTGGATTTTTCTGCTTAAATCTACATGTAAAATCAACATCTAATTGGAGAAAAGTATAATCTTGACTTCGAGTTATGAAAAATAATTAACACTCATTTTCTTCTCTCCATATTTATTTATTTGGATTTTATATTTGCCGGCTAATTGAGCAATAAAAAAATCATTTATCAAAACAGTCATTTTCAAATTGACAAAAAGCTAATATATTTATATATATAAAATGTTAGTTGCAACAAAAAGGTTTCCTTTTGGAGATTGCCAAATGTTTGGTCAGATATATGTTACGAACAAAGAATTATTCAAATTAATTATTACTATTTTATATGTTAGGTTGATTCTATTTTAATATACCACTTCCGTTGACATTCATATTGCATCCCTTTTTAGGTTTAAATCTAAGGGGTAATATTTAGATAAATTTATTAAATATAATAAACGGATTATATCGAGATAAAAATGTTCTTTAAAAAAATTATTCAAGTTAAGAATTTAATTTTAATTGATGTATAAGTTACGAATAATAAAAAGAAGTTATTATCAATGCATTGCATACATATGAATAGTCTACTTGTAATTTGATTTCTAAAAAATATATTATATGAAAATAGAAAATCATAAATACTCTTATTTTTATACCTTAAAATAAAATAAAATAAAATATATAGGTAATCTTGATATTATTATCAACTTATTTTTTTTAATTAATGTCACCATTGAATTTTCAAAAATTCTCAATTAAATATAAATACGATTGTTGTTTCTAATTATTAAAAAATCAAGGATGAATGTTATGGGAAAAGAATGGATATTGTATTATTAAATAATGAAAAACAAGAAAATATTAATTTGAATAATTAAATATTACGATTTTTTTTCTTATATATTCTAAATATAAATTGGATTAATCTATAATTGAACCCTCTTAAAAATCTAGCAAAATGAATGAATCATATATTCCTCATACCGCTAAAAAACAATACTACTTGCATGCCAGATAATGTAATAAAATTCTCTTCCAAATTAAGCCAGCATGCATGATTCAATTAAACTGGCAATAATTAACTACATGCATCTGTTTCTAATTAATTCTCATAAATTTTATTCCTAATTAGTAGTTAATTTTCAAAAAAAAAAATTTCATCCACAACAGCCTCAAAATGCTAAATTCTCCATGATTTTACTATATAATTTCTTGTTATCCTTGATTTTATTAGTTGATTTCCATTAATAAATAATAATATGAAACGAATGACATGGTAATTTAGAGTTTTTTTTAATAAATTAAAATGATATTTTTTATATTTTTAATATAATACAATAAAAATATTGAAAAAATATTAATTTTATATTTTTTAAAATAAAAAATTCAAAAAATCTTTACAAATAGACACGAAAATAGTTATAGAAAAACGTCTAAAAATATAAAAAGTCTTTCCTCTCATCCTTGCATCCTTCTCTTCTAATATTATAAATATTAATAATTACAGTTTAATTATTACAGTTAATTCACTAAAATTGACATTAAACAATTTTTTTACAGAAAAAACAAATTCAATTTTTTTTAACAAATTAAGAAAGAGAGAGAAGAAACGGTCTTTTTTTTTTTTCTTTTATTATTTTCTTCTCTTAAAAAAAATTCTTCAAGTAAATGGCGACGGAGGACAACAAGCTCCTCCTCCTCCTCCTCCTCCTCCTCCTTTTCTCTTCTTCTTCGTCATTTTTAGCGATCTCATTTTCATTCGTCAGGTACTCTCTCTCTCTCTCTCTCTCTCTCTCTCTATCCGTACGTTTGTACGTATGCATACACACACACACCTTCATAGACGCCTCTATTATTCGTATTTCCATGCGTACATACATTTTGATCTGATCATCCGATCACTGCTGCTTATCGATTCCATTTCTATCGAAGCTTCCAATTTATCGTTATTTTATTGATTGATTTCATGTAATTTTTTTTTCGTTTACATTCGTTTATTTTTCTGCATTTATTAATCGAATAATCAGTTAATTAGGGTTGATTAACTTTGATTTTCACAACTGCAGTTGTTGATTTTCTCAGTTACGCGGTGATGATAATTTGGAAGGATTAAGAAACTACTTCGAGAGAGAAAGAGAGTGAGAGGAAGAGAGAGAGGGGATTTTTTTTTTTTTTTGTAAATGTCCGGTGGGGAGAGAGAGGAGAAGCAATGGAAATGTGGAAAAGCGATTGCGGTGGCGAATTTACAGAGAGTAGGGACAATGGTGAGGGATATAGGAGAGCCTTGTCTTTCACAATCACCTATAAAGGTTGTTATACTTGTAAGACTACTACTGTCTCTCATTTATTCAGTTACTTTTTATATTTTGTTATGTTTCATGTTGTTCGTTTATAGTTACGATTGTGATCGGGATTATGTTTTTGATGCGGCAGGTAGGAAGAATGCTTAAGCCGGAGAAGTGGCAATCGACTTTTGATAGTAATGGAAAGGTTTCAAGTTTTCGGAAAGCGCTGAAGTTGATTGTTTTAGGGGTATGCTGTTTCACGGTTGCTATATTTGATATCATTCATTAATTCCATTTTCAGTCCTCCTTTGAATAATGAGATGGTGCTGATTTGGTTCTTGCATATAATTTTCGTTCGCTTATCATTATGAAGTGGGTTGCACTTTCCATGTAACTATTTAACGTTGTTTGCTGCATGGCAGGGTGTGGACCCATCTATTAGGCCACAAGTTTGGGAGTTTCTACTTGGCTGTTATACACTGGGAACCACTGCTGAGTACCGGAGGCAGCTGAGGGCAGCACGAAGGTATTTAAGTTTTTTCAATTTTTGACCATATTCAGATGCTAAATTTATGTGTTATTTGAGCGCCCAATATTAGCTGATTCTTTGTTGTTTTGGCTTTCATGCCAAACTAAGAATGCATGAGAGCTGTCTATAGTTTTTCATCGTTAGCTTTCCATTCCAGTCTTTGCTTATATACATGGATAAAAAGAGGGAAGATTTTATGTTGTTGGCTGTTATGGTCTTAGCCAAAGACATGCATGCCCATACAAAATATTCTCTTTTGGGTTTCAGCATTATTAAGTTGAGCCCTATTGCAGTTGTATCATGCTCACCTTTCAGTCTTAATAGACAGGGTTCAGTTCTTCCATTTAAAAAGAATTGCTGTGATCCTTTTGCTATCATCACTGCCAGACTGGACATAACCCAAAAAGCGGCAGCAGACTGTCATTAGAGAGTTTGCAGATAACAAAACATGATGCGTGCACATCATGTATATTAGCATAATGAAAATATCATTAACTCCATACCTTTGATCTTTTTTTTTTCCTCTCGTTTTCTTTTCACTAAACCTATGATGTATACCATATTGATTTCTTTTTCAGTTTGCCATACTTGCATGATGCAATGGTTAGCTTTTAACACGGTTTATTATTGATTCTTCTTCTTCTTCTTCTTCTTCTTTTGTGCATGTGTGGTGTGTATTTATCTGGCTTAACCAAGATATTATTGGAGTACGTGGGCAAAAGAAGCTGTTTTAGTTTTTTTAGTATCGTTGAACTGTCTAGAATCCCCAGCTTTATGAAGTCTTTTATGCAGGGAACGCTACAGAGACCTCATCGAGCAATGCCAAAAAATGCATTCAAGTATAGGAACCGGTGCCCTTGCGTTTGCTGTGGGGTCCAAAGTTATGGATATGAGGACACCATCCAAGGATGATGGGAAAGGGGAAGAAGCTACTGTCAAAAGTAGACAAACCTCTGTAGATGTTACTAACAGCTTAGAGAATTATAGCGATTGGAATAATAATTGTACAGATACAGCATGCACGTGTGCAGGGCAAAGTTCTAGTGATTCTGCTGGACTTGTCAGTGTGAGGGGAAGCTCAGATAGTGCAGCACATGATTCTTCTTGTTTTATACCTACTTCTGGCCCACTCAATAGTAGTTCTCCAAAAAGAGGTGGAGAGGCTCATGGATCAGAGTATGTAGTGGAGAGTTATTTTGATTTTCCACCTTTACCTGTCACGAATTTGTTTGAGAAGAGAGAAGATAAGAAAGAAAGTGGTGCGCTTGATGACAAACCACGTACACAAAGAAAATTGAGATTTCAAGATGACAGGATGCACAGTTTTCAAATTAATAATAATGTAGATTTAATTATTGAATCCAGTGGGGAAACATCTAACCATGCTTCACCTCAGAAGAAATCTGAAATTGAATTAGTTCAACAAGAGGACCATGAACCAGCATTACAGTCCAATAATCTTGGTAATGAGAAAGAAATAGTGGACAAATTGAGAATAGCTGATGTTCCTGAGACACCATTGTTAAATGGAACAACATCTAATGGAGGGGTTGCTGGTGAGAACAGAGTGTCTGAATGGCTCTGGACATTGCATCGAATAGGTACCTCAGTTACAGATTTGTGGTTTCATTTTGAAAGAAAAGCACTGAATGTATCTCATGAATTTTAATGTTATTGCTATTCCTTTGAGCTGACAACCTTTTCTTTCAGTTGTTGATGTTGTAAGAACAGATAGTCATCTTGAATTCTATGAGGATAAAAGAAATTTAGCTAGGATGTCTGACATCCTTGCTGTCTATGCATGGGTTGATCCAGCCACTGGTTATTGTCAAGGTTGCTCTATTAAATTTTAGTGTTCTTCAGTAAAACCCTTGCCTATGTTCAAATCTATGAAATTTGTATTCTATTTGAAACTTTAAGCATAAAGTTTGCATGATCATGTGGTTATCTGGTTTTAGGTATGAGCGATCTGCTGTCTCCTTTTGTTGTTCTCTTTGAGGACAATGCTGATGCATTTTGGTGCTTTGAGATGCTTCTACGGAGAATGGTATTGCTAACCCTGGCAAACATTTTTAGCTGGATAGCTCGATGTTCTTCTCTAACATGTGTTTTCCTCCTATCCAGCGTGAAAATTTTCAGATGGAAGGACCAACTGGGGTCATGAAACAGTTGCAAGCATTGTGGCACATCTTGGAACTCACAGACAAAGAAATGTTTGCACATCTATCACGTATTGGTGCTGAAAGCCTCCATTTTGCATTCCGGATGCTGATGGTTCTCTTCCGCCGAGAGTTATCTTTTAGTGAGGCTCTGCGGATGTGGGAGGTTTGTTCAGTTGTTCTCCTGCACTGAATGCAATAAACTGTAAACTTTATAATATTGTCTTGATCTAACATGTATACCATGACAACAACTAGCTTGAATAGTTTTGCTAAGATGATTATGGTATAACATGGAATACCATGTAACTAGAGGTCTTCTGTAATTACTTAGTCTTCCTAGGTTTCTTTGTATCCTTAGGTAATCTGTCAAGATTGCTGGATAATTTCCTGAAATCTGTTTGTTCTCTTCTAAGAGAATGCAGCAATGGAATGTGTTGCTTTGTGGCACTAGAATGAAAAGTTTGGTCTGCAGAACCATGTGATTGTTCAACTGAACTAGGAAACATAAGAAAAAGGCTGGCATTGCTATTATTGTGTGGATCAGGCATTTCTGAATGTAGAAATAAAGCATGAATCAATTTTATGAAAGTTGGATGGCAATGCACTTCACTGATAAGTGCTTCTGAGTTCATTTAAGCTCAATGGATAGTCCCTGGCCTTTAATGCAGTTTGATGTTTTTTTTTTTTTTTAATTAGCATGATCATGGCTTTTTAAAAGCATCATGTCTTCAGAAGAATCATGAATCCCAATGAGAGGTTGTAACTTTTTTGCATTATCTCAGGAAGTTGAAATTATTCTGACTTTAATGAAATCGTTGATAATGCAGATGATGTGGGCTGCTGATTTTGATGAATCTGTTGTGTGTGATCTAGAGGAGAATTGCCTGGATGCACTGTTGCTAAATGTTCCAAGGGATTGTGAAGGAGATACAAGGGAAGAAAGCATTGAAAATAGTGATGGTAGTTCAAGGGATGGTTCACAATCAAAGCATGGAAATGTTGAGCACCCAACGCCTGACAACACTGGAATGAAATCCGCATCAGCTTATAACTTTTGTGGTTTCACAAAGAACTTTTGGTCAAGAAATGACCGCATGCAGATTACCAATGCAATCTCATCAACTAAGAATGGGGATGACGAATTACCTGTTTTCTGTGTCGCTGCTATTCTCATCATGAACCGGCAAAAGATAATCAAAGAAACTCGCTCGATTGATGATATGATAAAGGCAGGTGTATGCTTTTGTAGTTCTATTACACTGTCTTCTTATAATTAACGTGTTTGCCATAGCTTTGTGACTGTTAATCCTTATCTCTCCTGAAGTGATCTGTGAGACTAAATAAATCTAGTTTATCTGAGTGTGCTCTAGGGAATTTCTTCTTGCACTAGATCTCGAGAAAAGAAACTTAAGGAACTTACATATGAGGTAGTTTTGCTCTATTTGTGCTCTTGGATTAACAGCACTACTGTCTGGTATGATTATGGGTTCTTGTAAAATTGCTGGCTATTTTCACTGTTAAATTGAAGATCGATGTCAAATGGATCCTCATCACTGTTAAATTGAAGATCGATGTCACATGGATCCTCATCAATATATGCATAGTAAAAAAAAACACTTTTGTTATTTAATGACAGGACTTTTTTATGTTTCATTATTTTACTTATTTCATTGACATGTATTTAAATGATTGCAGATTTTCAATGATAGGCTGCTGAAGATTCATGTTAAAAGATGCATACGCACAGCGACCAAACTTCGGAAGAAATATTTTTACAAGGTTAGGTGCTCATTAATTTATTTCACTTGAATTAAACAGTAATCTGGTTTTTCCTTTTCCTCTACATAGAAATTGCATCTGTCAGATGAGTGTTCATTTCTGTGGTATATCTTTCTTTCATGACGCCTTTCTTAAAACTAAATTCTTTGAATCAGCTGATCAAAAGCAAGAACCCTGTAGTCCAGAATGGTGAATAAGACTGCCAATTTTAGTATTCATTTCACTGACAGAGGCACCATGTTGGCACTTAGAGCTGGTAGTGGTAGTCTGGGATGCTGATTTTGAGTACGGCCTTACAATGTTTTGTTATTTGGATCTTTTATGATGGAGTTATTTAAAGAAAAGTGCTGTTGCCATTCAAAGATATTGTACAGTTGATTGTACTTGCATTGTCTCCTTCACATCTTTGTGAGGTAACTACTGTCGGGTTCTCTTCCCTTTCCTTATTGCAATGAATTACCTGGTGCCAATAAAATTGTAAAGTCATACACACTTGAGTGTTATTTGGCATCTAAGTTCTTCATCATGATCACTTGCATCATTCTTAAAATGAAATACATATTAGTGAGTTGTGGGTTTGATGAAATGGTTATGGGCCATGTATTTGTGTTTTGGATCATGGTTCTTTGTAGTTTTGAATTTGGTCAGTTTATGTGAACAAAAGAAATGTGATTGATGAGATCAAAGATTAAACCAGTAGTTAAATGGAAGAATGATTATGGACAAATACCTCATATCAGATAATTTTCAAAAGGTTTATTTATTTTTTAATTTTTGTTTGGTTTTCCCCTAAGCCAAATAGAATAAGCTTCACTGAAGGTGCTATATGTGACAAGCTCATTGTTGGTATAAAGTTTTTGTTCAAACTATCATTGTTCAATGGCATGTTAGTTTCTTTAAGGAGCCTAACAGAGTTTATGGTCGAACTTAAGTCTTGCCCTTTGTTGACCTGTATCTTTCTTCCACTCATAAACATGTGAGAACTTCTTTGCTCTTGAGTTTGAGATTTCTGATTCTGTAATAACATATGTTCGCCCTCCTGGGTCATCTTACATTGAAACACCATATTTAGCTGCAGCAGATGAGGATTACTGGGAATAAAGAAGGATGCACTGTGCAAATTGTCATTTTCTAAAATATCTCTACACTGTAAAGAATGGGTTGGGACATTGGTTCAACTGAAATTTATAACTTTACATGCTTGGACTGATCTAATTCCTTAGAAGGTTTTTTTGGTCATGGTGCGGATAATCATTGCTTGACTCACATTTTTGAATTATAAATTTGGACCTGCTGGTGTGTTTATTTACTTCATTTCTTGTAGTTTGATGTTCAGTAACATTTTTTTGAAGCTAGACCATGCATATAATTGTAGTTGTGGTCAGTTTAAGGATTTTCAAACTGTATCATTTGAATTGTGGTTCTCTGTTTTTTTTTCCAATGTTACAGCATTCTCCTTTCATTTTCCTATCCTCCTTTTGAGGCCAACGGAAAGATCTGAAGGTGCCAACAAGTTCATCTTTGGTGCATCCAGGTTCTTATCATTTAACTGCTATGATAATTCTCACAGGTTAGGCAAAGACAATGTTTTCTTTTCCGTTGATTTCATTTTTCCAAGTATTTAGAGGGCAAATTATTATAAAGAGAAAAGAGATGTAGAGAGGGAGCAAATTGTTTTGACAATTTTGATTGCCTTGTGCTTTTGTTGAAAGGAGTTCAAAAAATAAACTAAAAGTTATTGAAAGTCATCAACAATTGCAATGGTTGAAATGCTGAAGATGAGTTCTTAACTTGAGCAGGAGTTGTGTAATTTTATTTGTAGAAAGGAAACATTTTTTTCAGGCACATATTTGTATCCTCTATCCTCGACACAAAACAATATCATTTAATTGACAGTATTTTTATGATGACAAATCTACCCTCATCAAGATCACATCTCTTAGGTTTTATTGGGTTTTGCCATCATTTATGTATCGGCAATTTCGGCGTATCTCTCCTGCATTTCCCGTTAGCACATTGATGTTTCCCATCCTACTCATTGATAGAGCAAGTGACCTTCTTAAGTACTCAAAACCACCAGCAAATTCTTGTGTTATCTGTAGTGTGTCATTGCTGAAAAGTAGTTGCTGATCAACTCCTAGGACAGACTGGTAGGAGAGAACCCTCTTGTAGAAGGATTCTGTGAAGGTGTATTTAGAGCTAGATTCTGGGTTTAGAAACACCAGTGGGTCAGATTGGCCCTTTTTGGTTCTCTGGGGACATTGCTTTCTCATTTGATCTGCAAATGCTTTGTTCATGCTTGGGTCTGGCCTTCCAGTATTGTTGAAATTGTACAGTCGGTCCAAAATGTAGCGACAATGTGTTCTCCCCATTGAGTGTGCCCCTGATAAGAGTCATATGAGAATTGCCAGAATATGAACGTAAATTTGGGACAATATGTGGAAGTAACTCTTGACTTGGCACATTTGCATTTGACTGACTTTTTTTCTTTTCAACTTGAACTTCTTTAGAATTACGCAGTTACTAAGTTATGTGGGACAAGATTTTAACATTAAGACTATAGAAAAACCTTCGAACTAAGGAACACATTTATAGATTCGTCAAATAATACAGATTTCTCGAGTTGTAATACTTTCGGTGCTTACCTAATAGTGTTCCAAGGTCCAACACATCCAGGCCTCTAGACTTGAAATATGCCAATGCTTCTCCCCCTGAGATGGATGGTGATGGGAGATCCACCGTTGCTGCTTTTGATGACATTCCATCCCTTCTTCCTGTAAAAACGGGATAAGCTGGTCCGCCTGCCTGTTGGGTAGATGGGTTATAGATTAGTAACAAGATTTAAGTGTCCATGAAGTTTTAATTTGAATTTAGGCAAAATAGGCTTATTGCTACTGTGTCTAGGGCAATATGCAGGTTGTGTAGGATGTTACCAAATGAACAGCATCCCTAGTAGCCAGGTTGAGAATATCAGCGCAAGAGACGACACCAGGACACCGATCCTCAAGAACTTCTTTTATTTTGTCAATGGCCACAAATCCTCCGAGACCCCGGTTTTGTGGTGCTGTCTTCTCGGAGTCTGGTCCGTCAAGAAGAATCGATGCATCACAGCCCTAAGTTTAGACAAGACGAAACAAAGTACTAATTATTTCTCAGCAAGTGAAATCGCTTGCCTTGCTGGGTAAAGACACCGAATAAGAGTGGAAGGAAGAAACGTAAGAGTAAGATTGAATGGTTGAGAGAGACATACAGTCACAAAGCAATCCGAGTAGAGCAACCGAAGAAGCTTGGCAGTAATGCTTCTATCTGCCTTCCAAAATAACTTTACCTGGTGCCTAACAAACTCCTCTGCATAGGTGCATGTAGTATGCTGCCGGTAGTAATGCCATTTCAACTTTACCGGTGGTTGCAGTGTTATCCCGGCATCCACATTCGCTATACACAAGCATAATGCAATAGCCAGTAGCGGGAAAAACACGCACTTCTGACCTCTCGTCATTTTATCTCCTATGAATGCAGCAAGCTTTATTAACTGATCATAGAATGTGGCATGACATGAACGACGATTTAGTTCTTTTATAGACCAGCTTTTGGGGGTAGTCCACGTGGCATTACCGACAATACCAGGTTGGATTAAATTTGATAAATAAACTATTTATATAGTTTTTAATCATAATGTTTAGTCTATGATGTTAGTATTAAGGCACCGTGGGAGGGCATACGGCTACTCACATGCTCCAAGGTGTGGTCAACATTCTTCTACGCCATTTTGCTATTAAGCAACGAAGGAATCGTTATCAGTAAGTAACGTGTAAGCATGTGATTTCTACCTTGGATTTAGGGTTTTCATTCTACTAGGCACAATTTTCTGTGATCCAAAAAATTTCAGGTATCTAGAGTCTCGTTAACATTTATGTGGTGTGGTGTCCTATGAAAAAAGGTTTAAAATATATTAAAATAATATTTTTTATTTTTAAAATTTAATTTTAATACAAGTACATCATGATTAAAAAATAAAAAAAATTAAAAATTAAAAAAAAGCATTTTAAAAAAAATGACCACGCAGCAATTACAAACACTCCTGAAGCCAGTAATTATGAATCATTTACTGGAGTTCGATCTTGTGGACACGATTATCTCATAATAACATACCAGTAGCCCCCTGTTGTCTTAACACATATATGAGCACGAATCTTGATTGTTTGTAATTAACGTGCAGTTATCAAGAATGAATCTTATAGTGATTAATGAAATGAAAGCTCATTGATATAACAAATATTTTTTCTTTTTCATAAAATGGGAAGCAAGTAGGTTACAGACTTTGATGGGATTGGTTTTAAAGTGTATCAGAGTAATTTCATACTTACCTTTTGCTTTTCATAATTTTTTTCTATATAATAAAAAGTTAATTATATTCATGTGGAGATCAAAAAATAAGTATTTTATAAATAGATTCATAAGTATTTTGAAAAATAAAATTCCCCAGTTCTTCTAATCACTTTTCTTTGTAAGTTTAATCCATCTATTGTTATTTTTTTTATCTAATTAAAATATACGATCTCAATTACATATTTCTCTTGAAAAAAGACACAATTGCAACACCTAAAAATCATTTCTTACCAGAAAAAAAAAGAAAAGAAAAAAAAAGATTGGTTACCCGACAAATCACAGACATGAAGCCAGTCTATAACTATGGAAGTATGGTAATATACCAAATAAGATAAATTTATCATATTTTGGAAAGAGT